GCCACCATAAAGGAGTGGAAGAAGGGCTGTATTTGAAATAAGAAGTCCCTGATGGTAAAAAGCCAAGTCCAACAAAAGTTACCAGATGAAGGCCTGAATTTTGGATTCCTGTATTGTGTAGAGAAGAACAGCTTCTTTGCCTTTAAAATAATTATTTCTGATTTAATTCAGGAGTACAGTCAGAATAATTCCACATCAATAACTGTTTATAAGGGCTGCTCTGAAAGCACTGGCCCACGAGGCAGAAGTTGATAGTATGGCAGTAGAGGTTGAACCCTTCTGCCAATATTCCATTAAACTGTCTTGCTGACAGTTTGACACAATGGTGTCTGACACAGAAGTGCATATGGAGCAAAGGTGTGTCATTGAATTCGAATATGAACAAAAAATTGCATTTTTTTCATTGACATTCATTGATACCTGCTGGGCATTTCTGGAGGCCAAACAGTGGATGTTAGCACAGTGAGGTGGTAGGTGGAGTGTTTCAGCAGTGGTGACAGTGATGTGAAAGACAAAACATGCTCTCAGTAGCCATGCAGATTGTTACGAGCACAGCATGCAGGCTGTTGTTCAGTGCTGATGAAAATGTATAGCTAACGGTGGTGACTGTGTTGAAAAATAGCTATGTAGCTGAGAATTTGCTCTATCCAATAGCGTTATTGTGCTCCTTGTATCAGTTGCAGTTTCCATGGAAATAAATAAGAGGTTTACTTTTGGAACAAAAGATGTACAATTTAAGTATGTTTTAAATCTTGTACTGTGTGTACCCGTGTCATTCTGACAATTGTTAGAAAGCAACCCATGTTAAAGTAGAGAGGAATACTGACTGCAGTCAAACACCAACATGTGTAAGAATAAAGTGCGTCCATAGATGTTTGCACTAGATGTAATGTCTGATGAGCCTTGCTAGCTTGAGCTTGCATCACAATCTAATAAAAAACCTAATAATTCCTTTTCATCTTGCTCACTCACCACATATATCAGGCTTTGGAGATGTCAGATCTAAAGGGAGAACTGTTTTTCTGCCTTGGAGATTTTTGATCACTGAAGAACAATATATTGCAAGAATCAGTTCCTTATTCAGCAGGAGAATTCAGTTTTAGAAAAATAAAAAAGAAAGAAAAAGAAGCCAGGCAATAAAAAATCGCATTTCTTATCAGATCTGCCTTGATTCATGCACTAACTTGAAAGTTTGCTCTGCTGTCTCTTGCAACTTCTTTTAGATTCTGAATGTCCTTGACAGGCAGATAAAAGAACAGATGCGTATCAGAGGTGGGAAATCATCTTGTAGGAGGTCTGGGCTTGAGTTATGCAAAGATAAGGATGGGAGGTATGAGTGCATGGTGAAGTGCTACGTGGGTAGAGCAGTCCCACAGTATGCAACTCTTTGTAGGACTGGATATTACATAAGGCTTGTAAATGACTTCCTGTCTGTCCATCTTGTAGCTTGGTGGATATATGAAGATACAAAAAGAGTCATTTCACCAAAAACAGGCTGCCCTTCAGCTCTAGATCTCATTCTGTCCATCCAGTTCTCCTTCTGGGCAGTTGTCTTTTCTAAGCCAGTAAGTCAGCAGTTTCTCTGGTTTCCGCGTTGCATCGTATACTCACTAAACCAGTTTATCTCTGCAAGCATTTCTGCTTGCTGGGGTTACAGATGTCCCTAGCCAGGGGAAGTATACTGAGCATTACACTACACTGGTACAGTTTCAGTCAAAGACTGAAAAAACAAATAAACATAAACAACAAAGGAGTGGTCAGGTTTGTTTGTGCTTGTTTGTTTGTGTGTATATATATATATAGACATTATATATTGTGTAATAAGAGGACATTTTCATTGCTGAGTACTGTCAATAACCTGTCTTTGAACCAGAGTGCTTAAAAGAACAATTCTTCACATTTATGCAGGACAGCAAGCCTCCAAGTTAGTCAGAAATGTTCTTGAAATCTACATTTAACTGGAAGTATTATGGTTTCAGTCTTCTCCCTGGCTGGAAGAAGGTGCAAAATATGATTTCATGTTCTCATTGTATACTTACCTTTTGGTGGGATGCATTAGATAAGGTTCTGTCAAACTTGACTCACAAGAAGAAGAACAATCTTTATATATTCTTTAATATTTCAGGGAATTTTGTAGTGTAAACTATGAAGGATAGATACAGACATTTCTGGTCAAAAAGTCAAACTAATATAAAAGCTTTGAATCACTTTAAATAGATATCAAAAGCAGAGCCAGTGTGAATTTCCAAGAGCCAGTTAATTGTGATGATGTGCTGATTTGCTCATCTATCTATTTCAAACTAAAACTTTCTCCATCAATACGATATGCCTTAGGTTTAACAAATCCCTCTTAAAACATGTATGGAATGTTTATTTATTTGTGGCCATGTATTGTTTATTCTCTATTAAGTTACTTGCATTAAATTGGGAAAAAAAGTTTCAAACTCTTTTACTGCTCAGGTAGTGAAAAATTTACTGCAACTATTATTTCATTATGCACAGGGACTGATTATGTTAAAATTGGAAGTGTAAATTGCTGTTGCTTGTATGATAATAACTTCATATTTCATTGTTTAACAAACATCTTTCAAAAACAAATTCTAAGAGTTCAAAAATGTAGTTCTGGAACTTTAATATGGAACAGAAAAAAATAATGTGGATATTAAAATGGGGAATATTTTGGGAAAGATGAATGTTATAATAATTTATTGTGCTTTAGGCAATCTCATGATTGCCTCACAATTCTAGAATACATTCCTTTAAAAAGACAATCACCTGAATCTATAATCAGACAGCATTCAATAAAGTAGAAAATAAAGCTAACAGAAGCAAATTTACAAGGAACAGTCTTCGACAAGGAAAGACTGTTGTACCGCACACCTAAGATCAAAGGGTTTTTAATTCCCTCCTTCTTCTAGAGGAAAGCCCCACAAGCAGAAAATTCTAAATCACAGTTCAGTGAACATACATAAAAATTACACAGAAGTAAAATACTTGCGAAGCACAAAGCACAAACTTTCTAGTGACTATCAAAAGAAACACAGAAATGACTGTTAGGGAAGATTAGGAAACTTGTTAGATTACGGACTGGTCATGAAGGTACATAAACATTCCAGTACAAAAATATTTGTGACATGAGTGCCTACAGTAGCACAGAGAAGAAGGAAGATATGTTTGCATTTGTCCGTTCATTCAGATCTATCACATTAATTTTTTTTTATACTATAGTTTAACTTTTCATTTTACAATCAAAATACATCTATATTCCTGGAATGCTCTGTGCTGACACAATCCTTCTGAGCTCCTTTTAGTCCTCTGTCCTGCTACTGAAAGAAATTTCTTTTGGCAGCTTCCCCTGGTATTGTGTACTGAAGATAAAAAACTTGGCTGTGAATGCAGCTATTTGAAAAACTGGCTTCTCTTGCCAGGTCTTTAGTAGAAGGGAAAGCAGACAGGTGGAATAAAGAAAATCTCAAACCACCCCAGACCGTGATTTGAAGTCCAAAGAAACTGACCTCTCAATTTGAAAGATGATATTTTCATGTCCATAGTTCTTCTAGTATTTAATCCTGGCTTCGCAGTATGAAAACATGGAGCTACATAAGTTAACTAATAAATCTTTTTTTTCCAAATTCTATCAAAAAAATAACTGTGGTTAATGGATACACTTCCCACCACAGTGGACAAAACCTAAACTGATATCTTGACTCCTAAACCCTTTCTGTAACAGAAGTGGTAGTAAGTAAGCTGGAAAAATATGCCTCTCTTAAGAAAGCCAGATGAGAAACAGACACAAATGGAGTAAAATTTAAAGATGTACATGTTTAACAAAAACACAGTGAAGCTAAGGGGGAATAAATTTAACAAGGGACAGAGTGATTAAAGTAATTAGGAAAGTAATAAATGGTCTGATTCAGACAGTGGTCTTTATTAACTGTTCAACGCCTCCTGCTTTCTCCTTTTATCCGTTTCCCATTTCATGCTCCTAATCAGGTTCAAATGAGGTGTATCTGCTCCATCTTAGCAAGCTTGACCTACTTTAGAAGGATTAACAGCACCATGACATTTCTACCCCATTTTAGGAACACTGGGTGCTTTCATTTAGAACTCTACCTTTCTTCCGAGCAGCCTTTATCTAAACTTTAAATATCCTCTGTGCTACATGTGGCTAGTAATCATCTATAAACCTATACTACCTGGTACTAAAGAGGTCCCTAGATGTATTCCTAGGAGTTTTGCTTTTTTCTTCCTGACATCTGTCTCTCCTTTCACTAGTCCCTCCTCATATATTTGGAGCCACTTCATGGAAACTTGTTTTACCATCTTTTTTATCCACATTCTCTTTGAGGACAAACATTCAAGACCTGGTACAACACAATAAAATGTTCCTTAGTCCTTCCTTCCACACACCAGCTCTTTGTCACATAAATTTACCTAATTTGGTTCCAGCAGGTGAATCCTTCCACCGTGTATAAAACTACTTTCAGTTTTGGTCAATCATTTCTTCCTTTTCTTTCTTTGTTTGCTCCACTTTCCTTTTTTTGTCTCTACCTTTCCCTTCCCTTTCCTTTCCTCCTTCCTTATTCTCCTTCCCTTTCCCTTCCTTTTTCTCAGACAATCTATAAAAAATGAGTGTATTTATCTTAGGCTTCCCTAGTTCTTACTGAGCAGCAATGTAAATTCCTTCTTACTACCTGTTCACAAAAGAACTTTAGCTAAGTATATGTCTTCTCAAATAATTTCCACTGTTGTATTTTTTTTTCTCTTTACTGCATAATTCAGGTCCAAATATTTCCAGGTCTAAATATTGCTAAAATGCCACATTCAATATTCAATCTACTTATTCAAGTAGAAAGGGCACTGATAAATTATGATGTTTTCTTTTACAAACCACAAAAATAACTAAATGATTAGGGGAAAAAAATGGAATATAGAGAGAGTTCAGGCTCTGTGTATTGCATAGGAAAGAGCAGAAAATATGTGTCACATGAGACTCTTACTTCATTCTCAGCTGGCATTAATCCCAGTGGCAGGAAGCTCACAGCTCAGAGGCAGGGATCTCAACAATGCTGGGAAGCTATCAACAAAAAATCTTCTTTGGTTACAGCGGGTACTTTTTGAAAACCTAGTGAAAAGAGAATGTAAGTCACCAGTGAGTCACTGGGAGATGTGTCCTACCCTTGTGCAGTAGCAAACGAGGAAAACTGCTCTCAATTCACTTCTTCATAGTGTGTGCAGTGCTACGGGTGGGTCTGTCTCCCTGCACGGTCAGTTTTGTGAGGTCTGTGAAAGTGCACTACTGCTTCTTTCTGATCATGGGCTGTCTTACGCTTCTGCATTTGGATGCTAATGCTGAGTTCACTTCAGCTTCAGCAAAGGCCAGACCTATATCCAGGCTCTACGGAATGGTTTGATCAAGGAGAAGGTTTGATTCCCATGGAGAAGAACAACGTGTAAGGGCCTTGTTAGACTAGCAGTTAGAGGTATTAAGTCCAAGCATTTCCTCAAGCAGGTTAAACTAACCACACTAACTGACGTATGTATATGTTTTCTCAACATAGCTGATTAACTTCTGGAGAACCTCTCAGAGAGTTCCTCACAAGCCAAGGCATCAGCAAAGATTTTAGGAAATCCTGCAATCCGTATCTGGCAGGAAGGGAGATCAAACGTTTAGAATGACCTCCTCAGCTTTATTCCGGTCAATTTAGCAGACTGAGTTAGCTGGCTGTTAGGAGGAGTGGAGCTGTTACACTCCAGGGGAAGGCTACCACCCGGGGCGAGCTAAATGAGCGGGGCCAATAGGAACCTCGGTTTAGTCTATAAAGAACAGTGAGTACCTGAAGACGGCACCCCATTATGGGTGCCCTCGACACAACAAACGTTCATAAACCCGCTCGAGTACAGCGGAGCATTCGCGCGGGCAAGGCCGGAGCTCGTGACGAGGCGGCTTTCCTTCAGGAACAGCAGCGCGCGCCGCCACAACAGCCGCCTCCACACGACCAACGGCCACGCCGCGCGCCCTTCGCGCTCCCGCGGCGGCCCCGCCCCCGCGGCGGCAGTTGGGCGGGGGCCGCCACCTCCTTTCACTTCCTGGGCCGGGCGGGGGCAACATGGCGGCCAGCGGCGGCACGGCCCTACTTTTGGCGGCCGCGCTCGGCCCTCTCGCCGCCTCGGTCTTCTCCTCGTCGCCCGCGGGCAGCCCCGGCGAGCCGCGGAGCCGTATGCGGGTGCTGAGCGGCTCCAACTGGAGCCTGGTGCTGCAGGGCCAGTGGATGGTGGAGTTGTGAGTAACGGCCACTCGCCCGCCTGGGGTTGGGGTGGTGTGGCATGGGGGGGGCTCAGCCTTTCGGAGCGGCTGTGGGGTCTGGCCTCGTCTCGGCTCTGTGCTGCCCGGCGCGGAGCCGTGGAGGCCTCTGACCGCCTGCGGGCTGCCGCGGCCTGGGGGCGGGCCTGGGGGCTCCTCCTGCCTCGCCGCGCCTCCCGCGCCCGCTGCGAAGTCACCTTGGTAGCCTCGAGCTGGCGGGCGCGCTGTGCGCCGGCCTTTGGGGGCTACTGAAGGGGCCTTTCCTCCGAGTCTGGTCCCGCACGGGTGCGACGTTAGGCAGCGCGCGTCGGGCTGCTCGTGTGGGGCGGGCCTTCACTGAGATTCGCGTGAGCTAGGAGGGCTGAATCGGGCAGGCAGGGCTTAGCAGGAGTGATGTTACGTAAATAACGCGGTGTGCTGTGGCTCTAGTGTTCTTACTCTTTAAGGGTTGTGCGTTATGCTTCGTTAATTTTTCAGTGCTGCCGATGCTTTATCTTTTTGACAGCTGTAGAGGTTCGCTAGTTGTGGGCAGGGCTTGGAGTGCTGCTGGATGACTTCAGTGGTGTCCTGACTTCCCTGGTGGTGTAAAACTTGCTGAAGGGCACATGGTGTCTTGTGCTTGGAGGGGAGTTCGCCTGTTTGCATTTAGAAGGGAAAAAAGGAAGAAACAGTTTAAGCTGTGTATATGTGTGGTAGCTGTGTGTTGTGCAGATATGGAGTGGGCTTTATTGTGGTGTGTGTGCTATTTACTCCTCTGTGGAGGTGTTTTAACAGTTTTGAACAGACTGAGTAGTGAAAGAGGATCTGGCCCACCAACATCTGAACTTGTGCTCCTTCATAAATGCTTCTCCAGCTGCTCAAAGTTTTATTCTTCTTCAATATTGAATTTGAATTATTCTGATCTTTTTAGAGGGAGAGGGACTGTCACTCCTCCGCGGGCTGTGATGCTCTGGATCTCACTGGAGACCTCACAATATCAATGAATGGATGGAGGTGATCCTGAAATGGCTGCTCAGAGGCCCAGGGATACCCACTGTGGCAGCAGGGGACAGGGGATTGCTGGTTTGGTTTTGAGTCATCTTATTTTTATTTTTTGATCCAATATTTGTTTATCGTGTTCTGACATTCAGGCCCTAGTGGGAGTTCTATGAACTTGCCACATTTATGAACTGTGAACACACACTATGAACTTAATACACAGCTCAGTGAATCTTAGGGAGGACATAAACTACTTAAGGTGATTCAGCGCTTTCTTGTATTTCTGAGAAAGTGTTTGAGTAACTACTGGTGCATGCAAGGAAGAAGACAGGAACTGACTGAAATCAGAAGTGGTTGGGATGATGAGCAGTTTAGATTGCTTTGTGTGTCTTTAGGCAATGGAGCAGCATTTCAAGTGAAGTAAATTACCGTTAGGTTTTTTTTTGTGGACTGTGCTTCATGTGGGAAAGGAACTTGGTCCTCCATGCTACTTTCTTTGGCACACTTCTAATGCTTCTACTTCTGAGAAGGATTCTTTGCATCTTATGAGGATGCTAACTTAATGCTGCTGTTTCTGAATGAAGTTTGAGATTCAGAATCAGTTTCTTGTGATTCTTACAGCTGTTCTCATATCAGCAGATTTGCCTGCTGCTGATTTTTATGTAGCTTAGAGCTGGTGGTGTAGACAGGAGTTCTGCACTTTGCTGACTTACTTCTGCACTGCATGGGTCTGTTGGCAAGGCTGCAGCGCTGTTCATCAAACTTCATTCAGTTAGAGAACCTGCTGCTACTTTATTTACTTTTTTTTAATGCAAAAGCTGTCAGGAAAGAAGTTTTTTTGTTTTTTTTTGTTTTTTTTTTTCATTTATGAAAGTAGTGTAGGCTAACTACCATGTGCTGCCACTATTTTTATTTGTTCCTGGTTGTACAAATGGAGAGACGTAAGCCAGAAATAACTTGTATGCAGGATTCGTAGGAGTAATAGGATTCTTCTTCCTTCATCCCTCCTAGCTGAAGTGTGTGTACTTGACTGACTACTTATAAATAATCAGTTATTTGTAGCTGATAAAACGGCAGGCCCTAGAAGCGCTGCTGCATTTGGATGATAATGTTCTGGATAACTTTGTGTTACAATGTCTTTTACGGATACTTCTTGCTTGCTGTTACTATCACAGCATGCAGACCTTTGCTGAAATGATGAAAGTATGATGCTGGAATAAACTGTTGCAAAAAGCTTCATTACTTCTAGTTTGCAGCTGCATGATAATGTTTGGCTAGTGTGAGGAGCTTTTTGTCTTTATTTTTAATGTTGTGTCTGTTGGGGAAATGGAATGCTAATTCCTGGTCTCTGTCCTTGTGTGTGTTACAGGCTGGTGCATTTCGCATTTGTGAACATAGCTCATTCCACACTTGATTGATTTTAATTTAACTTCCTCTTCTTCTTGAAGCAGATAAATGTTAGTAGTCTTTATGCTTCTGATTATAAAGTAACTCCTGTTGATCCTACAGCACTTCATGTGTTTGCCACTGAGAAAATCTCTACTTCAGTTCCCACACAGGATGTAAAATATTTTGGTTCCCTTCAGTGATGTAATAATGCTACGTGATCCTGAAAATGGATGTTACAGTTGTCAGTTTTAATTCTCGCCAAGGCTTTGGGGAGTAATAATCATAGTAGTAAGAAGTAAGCAATAAATCATGTTTTCAAATCTAGCTTATATAGCATACAGCATAGGCCTGTTATTTATTTCCTTGTTGTTTATAGTTAGATATTGTTATACTGCTTAGTAGGTGAAGTTACTACAAGGGGTCAGTGCCCAGTTGTCCTATGGAAGCTACACTTCCAAATGAGCGTGCTGTAAGTCTAGCTGAATGTGTTGCCGTTTGCATGGTTTAATGCTTTTAAACTGCTCAAAAGACTCAATAAAACTTTAGAATTCAATAAATTATTCAACAATTCACCTAGATTCAGAACTCAGTAAGATTGGGGAACTTCGTCGCTTGTAAGAGTATGGTCTCATCTTCTGTCTTTCTAGACTTCTCTTTGTCCTAATAGTAAAAACAAACAAAACCCAAATGCTAGAGCTTCTGTTTGGTTGTGCAGCTTCTGCGGACCTTGACTGAGTTGAGAGGAAGCAACCAAATGATCTGTGAATTCTTGTTCAATAACTGAACGTTGTCTTTGCCACACAGTGGCTGAACAGAAACTGATAAAATGTGAATCTGAAATATCCTTGGTAGCAGATGCTTTACTATTGTCAGAAGGACAAAACTGTACCGAATGATGGAACTTAGTTTGCTGAAATATTGAAGATTTTGCATCCATTTTTCAGGGGTTGTTAGGCATTCTGTTTTCAAGATGAATGCTCTGTCCTTTTGAAAAATAAAGTAAAACCTTGTGAATGGAACATTTGTTTTTTTCATCTGGATTGCACATGGCACTCTTACAGTTCTCTTGTTCTTGAAAGTAGAAAGCTGAATAATTCCAATATATGTGGCCTTGCTTCCCATCTTGTTCTTGAAAGGTTAAAGTGCACTTCATTAGTCTGTAGAATGAGTGGTGGGTGGCACTTCAAACGTTCTTCTAGGGAACCTGATTTCATTGGCTTAGTGTGTATTAGCCCACAATGGTCAGCAGTTGCTTTTCCCTTGATTTGGATATTACTGAAAGAGATGTGCGTGTCAGGTGGCTGAGGGAAATACAGCAAAATGGGAGCTAGCTTTCTAGCTCTGAAATGAAGTCCCCAGAACAGCATCTTAGTGCACTGCCATTCTGGTCAGACAACAGCAGTGCCTGGCTTCTGCTTAGCCCTTGGTTTGGGCTGCATTAAATGGTCTAGATATCCTGCTTGTGTCTCTAAAATAATCTCTTAAGCTTTTGTGAGCTCCTATCCAAGTTCAAACCTAGCACACCAATACCTTTAAAAAATACTGTTGGTCCACAGAAATAGGTTTGTAGAAAGAAGTTGAGTTATTTGGCTCCTCTCAGATGTAATGAATTCTGCAAGAATGTTTGCTAGGGTTTTAGCAATTTGCAGGCTTACTTAACTGTTGTGAAGCATCTGTTCTGGGACTCTGAGGATAGGAAATTCTGTGTACTACTTAGTAGCCCTTGCTGCAGATAAGAAGATGAATGATGCAATGATTTCAATTAGAGTTGTCAATGATAAAACATAATACCGTATATTAACAGTTCGAAATAATGGAGATGGGGAGAGTGCACAGAATATAAAGGAGAGCAGTTGAAGATGTGAAGGAGGAATAGCTAGCCTAAATATGTTGCTTCTATATTCATTAAGCCTTTGGCATGTTTCTGTGTGTAATTTGAAGGGGAAAAATGTGTGTCACTGAGAAGAACAGTAGTTGTGCTGCTTGTCCTCTTTCCCAGCTCACACTGATTCTTGGCAGTCTGCAATTCCTACCAGAGTTCTTTCCTCTTGCTCACTTGCAGCTAGTGTGCTCCCATTAGTCTCTTGAGGAAACAGCGACTGCTTGACTTATGGCATAGTTGAGTAGCTTCCTTCCTCACTTGTTCTTTTTTTTCTGTTAGACTCTAGTGAGGAAGGATGTCTTGGGCTGCAGCATTTCATGATAGGATTTTCATGTGTGAAGGCTGTGGAAACCTGGTTCAAAGGAGAAAGCAATCTCAGGTATAGCAGTTTTAC